TGCAAACATTATTCAATAAACTTGAACAAGAACTAGATTCGAATCTTCAAATGACAGCAATTATTAGTAGTGATGTTCATTTTCTTCATGCTGCTATTGAAAATCGAAAAGGATCTTTACATACTCATGTCCATCATGATTCAACAATTCAACCATTTTTATTACCTTATGAGCATAGCAATCCACGATTATTTCATCGACAATGGTTTCGAGCTGCTCTTATACGTGCTGGTCAATATTGTAGTTCGTTCGAAGATTTTGAAGACGAACGACTTTATATTGAATTAACATTTCTGGCTAATGGGTATTCATTAGATTTTATCAAGTATCATATCAAACGATTCTTGACAAGATTTAATCCAAATGAACAAAAATCAATGAATTTGAACCGATCTACATATCTTTCATTTCGTAATGAATTATTTCGTTGTATCGATCAACAAAAACGTGATCTATTCGAAGAACAACAACTACAAAAGAATCATCAATTAATTCAATTACATTATCTTTTCGATTGGGGTTCAAGATGTCTATTCAATCAACAGTTTTATCAATATTGGTCTACGATTCTCGAGCAAGATCCAGAGTTTAAAAAATATAGATTAAAAATCAAACTTAATACTAAACATTGTTATTCATCGAATACTCTCTTGGCTCGATCGAATAATACATATCTATGAAGTGAGAGTAGTCAATTTTAAATATTTATTTCTTTATATTTCTATACATTTAGATATTTCTAATGCTTGATTTTTAGCCATCTATTGCAATTTATACATGTCATTTTATTCTTCTTTTTTTTCTGCATGTGTCTTATTGTTATGTTCTTAGTATAGTTAAACTTTTTTGTCAATAATATATTACTATAAAATTTTAATACATTCTGAACTATCACTCCTATTGTCTTACTCACTTTGAAAAATTTGTTATATTGATCAATAAAGCAATTGTTTTTTTGTTGTTGTATTTCTTCTAGTTGCTTTTTTCTGTAGATAATATGAGAAAATGTTGTTTTCTATCTCATATATTCATTATGTTTCTTACTTTATATAGTAATGTACTAGAAATTTTTCGCTTTACATATTTTGTATTAGTTTAGCGAGGCTAGAGAACATACTTAAGTTTCACATCTCAGCTTCATTGAGGCTTTGCTAATAAGTTTTTTGTTTTCTAGATAGAAATATTTATTGATAATATAGACTGTAATAAAGGTTCAATCAAAATGTCAGGTTCAAATGCTCAAGCTGGTTGGTATGAACCAGTTTCACAAATACATGTACTCACTGAACAAAAGCAAAACTTCGAGAGGAACAAGAAGGAACTAAAGAAGAAGAAAAAGTCCCGTGGTAATCGGCGACTCCAACGCTATAGAAGGGAATTTCGAGCACGAGGAATGAACGATCAAACCGTAAAAATGTTATTGACAATGCATCAAATCAATAATTCCATTCATCAAGTTCATCGCGAAACAGACCACGATGAAATGATGGATGATTTTTTTGTCAGGAATGCCAATGAGGATATTCAAATGTTCATCTTCTATGGAAACCAACTACGATCAAATGATGAATAAAAAACAAATCCGATGTTTTTCTTTTGTATAGAACCAAGGCAATAATTCATCACCTACAAGAATACATCAAAAAATGAACAACCATTACGATTTACCTACAGATGATTGGAAACTGACATGCAAACTCTTACCAAATTATAAGATCTTGTCTTCTCATGAATTCAAACGTTTACTCTCCAAAACTATTCCAACGGATCATTATCAGATTCAACAATGGTTAGCAAATACTGAAATGTTACAATTCTCACAACAACTTGCTATATTCATGTGTACTTCCTTTCAATTGAAAATCGAAGAAGATTATTGGTACTACATTGACAATTTAAACATGCCTGTTGTAACTTGGTTATCAGAAGTATCGAAAGATGTAACAGAAAAAAATTCCATTAATTGGGATCATTCGAAAACAAAACTAAATATTCAATATCAACAAAATCTTATTCGAAATAAATTACAACGGTTAGAAATTAATTTATACAATTATTTACAACGATATTCATCAAACGTAAAAATGAACGATGATAAAATGTCTTTTGAACAATGGATGAATATTATATACAATGCTCTTTTTGTTCTCATGCAAAATGATTTGCATCGTTTCAATACAAATTTTGAACAGAAGAAAATCTTATTTACGTATGATATCCATGATGCACATCTTGTCAAATCATTCTATGATTTAAATCCAATAGAAGAACAGGTGAATATTTTATTTAGCCTAACTTTCTCTTATTCTTATTCTTCTCATAGGTTTATTCTACTCAACAAATTTGGCGATCAAAATTAAGAGCATGTGAGAAGGTTATTAGTCAACAAAAGAAACGTTGGTCAAGGAGTAATCAAGTTATGGTTAAAGGAATAACTCCAGGTAATCGTTCAATAACAAATATGAAACAAAATGAATTCGACAATGATGGTAATGATCAAAAGAATCAATTATTATATATGGAATGCTTTCCTCCTTCAATGCGTGCAATTATCCAAGCTCGTCTCGATAATATCGAACAACGTGCTCAACAAATTATAAAATTTATTCACGCTTCGTCGCAAGGACAACGATCTATTCCTTTCTTATAGATCTTACTGACTCTAGCATTCTCGATCGTTCATTTTAAGCAATATTGTAGAATGTAGTTCTATTGTAACACTTCATTCATTTCTTTTTTTGTGTCATGTTTCATAGTTTGTTTTTCGAGTAGTAAACAAATTTATCTTCTGATGTTTTGCTTTTCTTTTTTCTTCTAGATCTCACTTTCAGAATTCTATCTTTGTTTTGTTGTCTCCCATTCAATTTCAAATGGCAATGACAACATCAAATCTCAATTCTACTAAAACTATTACCCGTCGTAGTACAGTTTCTGACGCAAAAGTAAGACAGAAGAATAACAAAGATCTTTCTATTCTATGAACAATGATTTTCTTCTTAGATAGTCAATGAACAAGTCCTATCACAAGAGCTTGGCCAATTTTCACCTTTTAAAATCAATTCAACAAAAAAACAAATAACAAAATTTCCTATAGAAATCATTCTTTCGAAAACAATTGGTAGTGAATGGCAATCTATACCTGACTATCTTTGTTCAAAAAATCCATCTTTTGAAAAGAAACTTCGAACCATTTTACCATCAACGATGAATTTAGAGGAATTAAGAGATATTGCTATTCTCATGCATAAAATTATGTCGATTGACATAGTACAATCTCTCTGGATAGTCTATCGAAAATATGGTATGGAAGAAATACAATCCAAACGACCAATCAATGAATCCGATACAAAACTTTGGCCAAAAGAAGTTTCATCACTCATGGAACAGTTAAAAAATGATAATATTATTGGTGAAAGTAGTTGTTTAATTTTCGTCAATCAATGTTTACAAGAATTCTACAATAAAAAGGAATATTATCGACGCGAATTAAATGTCAAGACCAGTCGTTTATCTGGTTATAACCATAGCATCGAATATACTATTGAAAAATTTGTACAACAAGGACTTCAATCTTTACATATTGAAATCAATGAACATATTGCCACGGTTCAATATCATTATACCAATAAAATATTTCAACACACTTATTTTGCTCAAAATCCTAATACAAATCAAGTAAACTTATTTTATATCGAGCTTATTTTATCTTACTATTTTAGATACAATCTTCGCTCTTAATCATATAAAAAAAGAAATTAGATAGGAAAAACAAAAACTTTTTTTCATTCATATCCTTCTCTCTTTCAGATAGAATCTTGACGCAAAAAACAAAAATATAATCAGTATAAAATACGAAAGAATAGCAAAAATTCAAAATATTTTCTATTGCATATGGATTTCAATACAATTGATTTAACTCGAGCAGAACAAGCTACTTCTTTGTTAATTAATAATGAACAACAAGAATATCAATCAAGAACATTATTAGATAAAAATAATGGACGATATGCTTATTTACCTATATTTCCAACAGAATATGTTGGTCCAAATGAGTGTTTACTTTTGGCTAATGTACCAGGTTCGTATGTTCGATATAAATTGATTATAAATCATTTCATTTCATTGTCTTTTAGTTAGTCGTCTTGCACCTCATCAAATTAATCGACGTCAATATGGAGCCTATACTTTCGATGCACTGATGCTGATGAATAAGTATACTTATTCCGATGAATTTAGTTTATCTGAACAAGATGCTAATGAATTAGCTTCACGATTACAAGTAGGCAAATCAATAATTACTTTCAATGCACGACGACTTCGTAGCATCTGTCATACTCTTCTTGCATTTCATGAATCATTTCGACGATATGTTCTATGTAAGAGTGATGTTGCTCTAAAAGAACCAACACCCAATTCGAGACAAATGGCTATGGCATTGGAATTCTATTTACAAATCGATGGTTAGTCTTCATGTCGATATATATGATGCATATATATGTTTCATATTTTTTAGTGGATTTATTCTATATGAAAACTTGTTCGTTTCGAGGAGCTCATCCTCCATCTAATATAAAAGGTCTATTTTGTGGAAGAGATGAATCGCAAGCAAGATATTCATTGGTTTCATGTGATAATCTTTTTTGTCAATGTTGTTTTCCATTAAATACTTACAAGAAAAGTCAACCATGGCCAATTGTTAATTTTACTTCAAGTTCAATGCATCGATTTCTCAATGGTTATACTACCTATCTCAATTGTCCAGCAGTATGTTGTTGTCCCTAAATATTGAATTTTATATCGATCAGCTATGACTAAAATTTAGACATGTACTACATCGAATATAATTTATGCCATGACATGTCCATGTGGTCATTATGATTATATTGATTCAACAGCAAAAACATTGGCTGATGCTATGGCTTGTAAATATAAATTTTCTTACGTTAATCATGAACATGCCTTTATTTTTCTTCTTCTTTTTCCTAATGATATACAGATCATCGAGAACATGGCAATCGAATTATACATGAAAAATTAACTGATAGTCCTCTATTTCGAGGATCACAAATCGATCCTAATGAGAGAGAGTAATAAAAGACATTCGATCATTCTTTCGATTATACTACACATATTCTTTGTTTTCTTTTTCATTGTTGTAGAAAAGAAATGGTTAATCAAATGCGTCTCTATCAACATTCAGCTCGTTGTCCAGAAGCACTTCGTTCATTTCTTGATTGCAATCATATGTATTGGTGTTTTATTCCTCTACCTGTGGATGAAGCAGCAACAGAAAATGCTGCTAATCGTCCAGGAACTTCTACTACAGATCCCAATCTGGATGCTGTGATAGCAACTACTGCCGTAGACAATCGTAGGGTGGCTAATTATCTAGATAATGTACCATTACCACCAACTCCCTATGCCTTCTCATATCTACAGATAAAACAACAGCGTCTATTTTTCGAACGATTTGTTACTTCTTCTATTCATTACCGGCCTTATATCAAATTAGATTTGTATAACATAGCAATCATTGCCGTTTGTAAGTAAATCTATCTTTATCAACCACATCATCATCATCATCATCACTATCATTTATACCTGTTTTTCTTTCACATTGATTTAGTACCAGATGATTGTTCAATGATACTACGATACATTATCGAAACATTATTCATTATTCATGGTGAAACTAAATTGAATATGATTTGTCCACTTGGTGGTGATGCTGAAAAACGTTACGGTCGTCTGTATAACCTACATTGGTGTGCTAATTTGAATCGTTCATCAATGTCAACCACGACATCAACTCAGTGACCTTTTAAAACTACAATGGTCACTATTATAAAATAACATTTAATCAATATAAGCAACTTTATTTCACTCGTAGATAATAGTTAATCTTTAGTGTTTGTAATCTGTGTGCAAAATAGTTAACCTTAGATTAATGAAATATATTTGTGCATTTCTCCCAATATCATACTCAAATATAGTTTCATTCTAGATAAGTATAATCCTCCATGCACACTTACTCGTTTACTGCTCAACTAAACAAAACCAAGACATCTTGGTCATAAATCAAGCCATGTCACTACCAAATACATGACAAATCAACCTAGGTTCGCTCAATATCTGTATAGATTATCAGACAACGGCTTGACTGAAACTAAAAATCAATCGATACACCAAAAACCTATCTCCACTAGCTCTGCATTAGGTATCAGAACTGCGACAATACCACATCGCAAACATTATCCAGAATAAACAAACATAATCAATGAAACACAAATAAAAAAAAACAACACCTTCGGGTAAAATTACCAGTTCACTCCAAAACGAACTTACATATTTCAAACACTTATTAGATTACTCCTAACAAAACACTAAAATTACTAGCACTAACACACCATTTAACATACTGCTGCTTCATAAAACTGCTCGTCATTTCCATTAATCCATCCAAGTCGCACTAAACTACCTTCATTCCATCTACACTATTGAAACAACAAACGCCAAAGCGAATACTTCACATTCCAACAAACAAAAATCTTCCGACAGAAGATTCTATGCTACTTTCCCATAGATTTATAAACATCTATTCCTTCCCAAAACAAATTCCTCTGCGCCACAAAAAACACTATCAACTATGTCATAACAACGCTCAAAAATTTACACCGAATACCATTCTTTCCGATTCGACTGCTTTTACGCTCCAAATCGTAGCAGTATATCCGACAACATCCTTTACTTACACAATTGCCATCCACATATCATATTTACTTAACAATTCTATCTTAAAACCTACTAATTCTCCATAATGTGTTCTACAAAATATCGCTAACCAACAACCTCTTCCAGCCCCACTTCCGATATGAGCTTCTGCAATCCATTCGCCCAATTCTCCAACAAAAACAACAAATCAGTTCACAAATACTTGCCATAAAATTATAACTGTTCCAAAACAAGCCTACTATCACTAGCACAGCTTTCATATAAACACACAACACATTAATCCGACCGCATGCTATTATAACTACAACTACAACACCGTTTCCTTAATTTACTTTCACTATTATCAAACTCACCACACTGAATTCACTCCTTTCATTTGAAAACACGATTTATATCAGTACAATTGAAAGATCAAAATTTTTATTGTGGTAACTCGAACACACACACATGGAGGTGTTTGTCGAAATTCTTTTCGAATTCCGAATTTGCATCTTATTTTTCATTTGAATTTTTCTGAAATCGAATCATCCTGAAACAGATACATCCCACTTGATAATATTTTATCAGTGCAACTAAAACACAACAATTTGTATTGCCGTAACTGTAACACACCCATATCTCACACTTCCATACCCACATCAAGACGTACACCCTCTTTGCTTAACTTTCGTTGAACTCTCTCAACATTGCAGATTTAAGGATTGAATTGCAGCACTATTTAATAGCCGAACTTACCTGATGAAGGCTCTTAAGCAAGGTCGAAACCGGTCGTAAGTATAGCTTGTGCTATTAAAAACGAAATTCATTTGTATACACACCCACACCGAACAAGAAAAACTCGATAGAAGATATAATACCAAAAAGTTTTGAGATTCCACCTGATGACGCTCGGACAAAACAGAAACAAACGCCCATTTGTCGTGGAACGGTCAAATTTCTATTCACCCAAACCCCAAATTTCACACAAAAGATTTTGGATTTCTCTTATTCTAGATCTAAATCATATCACTTCATCATTCTAACACAACACTCGACTTAACGTTTTACTGAAACAAAATTCATACAGAATAGTCAGGTAATCATACATGTATCACTCTTTTTTTTTCTTGGGGAGATTTAACAAAGTGATTGTTGTTCGTTTTTAGGGATGGATACTATCAAGGACAATGGTAATAATGAAAAGAATACTGTTCCAACAAGTCAGAATATGGAAAACAAAGATTTGAATGGTTTCAATATGATTGAATCACGACTTCATGAATATGGACAAAAAGTATGAGAGATAGTTTTTTTTTTCTAACTAAAGTACAATCATATTGCTTGGAATATGCATAGAATCAAACTTCTATAGAACACAATAGCTACAATGAGAAGAATAGCATGAATTGTATGTCGACAATATTAGAAGATGATAGTGATGACAGCGAAGAATGGATTTCCATTGATGATGATAATGATGATGACAATGATAGTGAAGATGAAGATAATAAGTTAACCTATCATCATAACGAGCCAGAAGAATTAAAAGACCTGGACTGGAATGATTTACCAAATTTTATTCGTCATCTCGATTATAACCAGTTAAAGGTACAAGAACGTGAAAAAAGCTCATTCTGAAAATCGTATTCTATTATCTATTCGACGTAAATCCATCGCCAATAATATTATTATTAGATTACCATACAAGGGTACTCAATTTTACTTAGGTTCTGAAAAAGATTTTCAACAAAAAGAAACCGATTATATGAAACGAACAGGTATTTACAAATTGATAGATAAACTAGATGGAATTCATCGAACTGCTAGTCAAACATGTCTAGCCGATATTGTCGAACAAGTAGAAATCAAATTGAATAATTTACTTGATTCAAAATGTATCGACGAAGTACACTATATGAAAATGAATATTAGTCGATTATCGGTTCGAATGCATTATCTTTATTTTGTACCAGAAATTCACAAAGTATGTGTTATACTGCTCTTTTATTTTGTTTCTATTATGATTTGTAATGAAAACTATGTAGGAAGGAATTCCAATTCGACCAATTATGATATGTAATGATGGACCAACAATGAACATAGTTCGTTATATAACTCCTATTCTATGGTCTATTTTTGATCGAGCAACTAATTGCAGACGATTTTCAAATGGTGCTGTCGATGTTATACATGCCATTGAACATTATGCTCAAATAGGTCATCTTATACCTCGAACTCTCTTCGTAACATTTAATATGGATGAATTGATGACAGTTTTTCGACATGATGAAACAATAGCAGCCTTAAAAAGTTTACTTGTCGAACAATTACCAGATCAGATGATAGATGGTCTTACTATTGATACTATTCTAGAATTAGTTCATTTTGTTTTGAAAAAACAATTTGTTGTTTATAATTATGCATTGTATCAACAAATTCATGGTGGTGCTTCTGGTTTACCACTAACTATGTTCTTGACCTTTATTAACGTGTTTTATGGTCAACATCGAGATCTTGTAAAATCATTGAAAGAAAAAAATGAATTTTTTGGCAGGTATAATTCTTAGATAGTTTATCCTACAGTTATGAGTTATTTTGTCGGTCATTTCTTTTGATAGATATCGAGAACAAGCAATTATAACATGGCATGGATCTGAAGGTCAATTTCGTACATTACTCAAGAAAAGTATTGGTATTGAACATACACGAAATCTGGTAACAATATCTATTGGATCAAAAGTTCATTTCCATGATCTTGAAATTAGCTATAAGAATAATGATGGTATTCTCGAAAGTAAAGTTTATTATGATTCAGCTATTGATACTTTACCCAATGTATCCGATAAACCAATGGAAAACCAATCAAAACAATTATATGCTGTTCTCTATCGAGCTGTTCGATGTTCTTCTGATGTTGAAACTTTTCATCATGAACTATGTCATATTCAATTATCATTTCTTACATCGGGCTTCACATCAGAATTTATTCATTCTAATATCGAACGTTTTTACCAAGAATTTGGTATACAAGAAAAATTCTTCTCATTATTTTTGAATGATGATGATGAATATAATAATTTACGTCAACGTATTATACAAGACGTTGAACAGCAAATGAAATTGAAACAACAACGTGAAGAACAAAAAAAATATACATTATTCGTATCATGTCCACGTTTTATTCATCAAGAAAGTCGTGATATTTTCAAGCAAGGTTTTCAAGATTTGTGGAAGAAATATTTTGGTAATGAATCACAAACGAAACATGTACAAATCAAATGGATAGAACGAACAACAACTCCTCTAGCAAAAAGTGATTTTCTGATCAACAAACGACCACCACTTCGTCTGTTAACTTTATCGAAAAGTGAAGTCAATAAAAAGAGTTCGTATTACTTGATTTTCAATTGTTTCTTTTCGTCAGTAATCATATTTTATTGTCATTATTTTTTTTTTGTTCTGTAGGATATCATCCTGTGGATTGTCTTTAATAAACTGCATCCACCAATACTACATGGATGAATGAACATTATTTGTTTTAATTGTCTTACTCGTAGAAGTAGTTGATGCGTGTCATAGAATAGTCTTAGTATCGAATAGATGATTTGAACAAGAAAAAAAACCAAGCGTTTTTTGTTTCTAATATCCGATCGTTTAAGCTGATGTTAACTGGTTTGCTCTCTTTTTAGATATATTTCTATTCATTGTGATTTTTTACGTACGAGGACGATGACTCAAATTCATGAGACAACACTGAAAATAAACCCAGTTGATGATAAAATCATCAGCATGGCAGGAGACGAATAAATAATGGTAAGAAGAATGATTAGAAGACAAAAAAAAAATGATAGTATTGATGATCTTCTTGTTCTATTATGTTTAGAAACTTCCATTCAATAATATCATTCCTAAGGCCAATTCCAAGAAGCATAAACACAATACATCGACAAAAATTGAGAGACATTTAAGTCAATCACGGAGTCGATTGTCGATTTCACAAGGATGTTCAAAAAAGAGAAAGAAAAATGTTCAATCCAGCAGTGTTTCATCAAAAATGATACGTGAACTGAATGATCAACCGAAGATATCAACAAAAAATTTTAAATCCACATTCATATGTCAATATTTGAAAGTATCGAAACGAAAATTTAAAAAAATATTATCAAAATCAGTTCATGATGGCCATAAAACTTACAAATGGTTAGACAATGCTCCAAAAATTAAAATCTACACGTCAATTAGCTCAAATATATTTGAAGTTCGGATTGAATGGCAGCATTTTAAAAAATTAATAACCGAACTTATCTGAAGATGTCCCTTAAGCAAGGTCGAAACCGGTCGTAAGTAGCTTGTGCTATTAAATAAATTCTATACACACCCCTATTATATGTAATTATAAACTATCTGACAAGAAGGACATTGGTCTTTTTAATAAACATTTTAGACTTTTCTAATTTCATCCCTTTTTTGTTAATTTCAAACCTATTAAAATAGAACCACTTCTTCTTGTGTCAATATTTGTAGATATTTACATCATTTTAAAGATTTTTCTGTACTTTTATCAAGGGATGAGTCTAGCACAAGGAAATGTGAGTGGAACCATGTTGATTTTACAGAATACATAAGCGTTATTTCTATTTTAGATTAAAGATATTTTTCAGGAATTTCATGATGATTTTGATGCAGATGACGAGACAAATATTCAATTCGATAAGAGACGTAGGCGATTCGTGAAAGAATATGATGATGATTTATTTGATATTGAGCAATGTCCAGAGGTAGAACAGATTTTACCTGGTTTAACAGTTGGTGAACAAGAAAAACAACAATATTTATCTGGAAAGTTAAGTCACCTATCAGGTACACATCAAGAATCCGAAAGTACTACTCGAGCAGCCGATGTACTATCGCGAATAAAAACAGATAACGTCGTCATCTCCAGTCAATTGATACCAAAATATTTATCACATGAAAGTAAAGAATTCGATCGGATGATCCTCGGTCTCCGACAACAAACTGGTACTATTATTTATACGGAAGAATTATGAACTATTGCATTTCTCATTGATCAACTTCAACGTATTAAATTAGAAAAACATCTTTATACGACATATTTACGTTCTGGTCAGGGTACATTAGTACAAAATAAAGAACCGTCACTACTATTGTGGTCTAACGAGCTGAAATTAAAAATAATTGCAGAAAATCAAACGAAAGCCACGCATTCGAACGAAATCTATCAAGATGAGTGTGTAAAATACGTAGAGAAAATTCTAGAGAAATATAGAATTAAAATGTTCGACTACCAAAATCAATTGGAAGAGAAAAAGCGACATTTACGCAATCGCTGGACAAGTAGAATTGAAGAAACTATTACGAAATTTGTTCAAGACTATAAGATTATTCTATATCAAATACCTATTGAAAAAGAAATCATCCGTATTGAATATGATTTCTTTGATCGATTATTCGAACTTGAATTTTATAGTGAAAATTCAAATGTGTATCAAGTAAATTTTGGAACAGTATAAAACATTATATTTCCTAGTTATCTTCTTCTATTTAGAAACAACTATTTCAATATCTTACACAAAAGAAATTTGATATGGAGAAATCAAAACTAGAACTTGCTCTATTAAAACAGCGTATCACTCATAATCATCTACCAACATCATTTGATAAACTCGAAATATCGATACCTACTCCAATACATACAATAATGGATACGGAGACAGCTCAATCTCTAAAAGGTCGATATGATAAAATTTTACAACGAACAAAAGTTGATATGATGCAAGTTTATGTTGAAGCTGTTGAATTTCGAGCAAATCAATATCGATTACAGTTTAATAATGCAATGAATAAATTAAAATAAAATGAATCTACACATCTATACGATAGAATATTAAATAAAGTTATGTTCGATATAATGATAAAACGTTTCAACAATATTAGTGAACACCTTGTATCTGTCTACAAATTAAAACTTCGTGCTTTCACCAAACTTCGGACAGACACGAAATCCAATTGAACTATCATCGAAGTAACTATACATCTCTAAAATTAATGTCTCGGCATTAGACTCTTTCAATCTATGAAAAAGAACTTATTTCACACATTCGATATCGTTTTCTTTCTGCATATTGTAACTGAATTTTCAGATTTCTTTCTAAATATTATATAAATTGTGTCCGTTTGTAGGTTATTAGAGAGCAATTCTATTCGAGAGAGATATAAGTCGATCTTTAATATAATTTTTTTTAAGAAAATTGTTCTTTTATTATTCAATTTTAGAGAATTTTGCATTACTTATTTCAGATTTCAATACTTGTTTAGATTGAATTTTTCATTTCTGAAAAAGCCCCACTCACTGATTCAGGCGAAGATGTATGTATTATTTTAAAGATTTTGAATGATTTTCTAAGACAACATATTTTAATATAGGTTGAACCAGATATTGATCGATTCGATGATATCTTTCATGAATATGATGACGATATAGATGAAGATGAAGATAAAAAAATGCAATAAAGCACAATATTCAATTGAAAATTGGCACAAGAAGCAATAAAAATCTAACCCAATTATTAGTCAAGAAGAAGCCACCAAAAGCAATGTTAATGAATGAGGTACCATAAGATGCAACAACTAGAACAACAATGATTAGTAGACAAAATTTATTCAATACCATTGTGCAAACATATACATCTAAAACCTTAACAAGACACCAAATAGACATTTCATTTACTCTGACTATTGCTCTTTTGTATAGTTCACATTTTTATTCATAACCTTTCGTTCTTACACAAAGAATCATGTTCAACATAGAAAATTATCATTTCTTTATTATTCTAGATATACACTAGTCTATTTACCTTCGTTGAACAAAACTATTTTACCTACGAGCAAAGATCAATTCATTTAATGTGAGTATCATAATCAAAAATACGTTTAGTGATCGAATATTTTTTTGTTTCTTTAAGAATGAGTACGGAAAACAGCCAACCGGGTCATATTCCGTCAGAACTATTGAATACACTCAATGTAAGCCAATCTAATATTGATCAACTATTATCGGTCGGAATCGTAACTACAAGTCAGCTATCATTGACACAATTCAACTCGACAAATATGATTTCAGATATTCAACAACACGATCATGCAACCGGAACACAGGATGCGGGTCAAGAACAACGACATCAACAAACACAAGCAAGACGACAACCACAACAACAAGAAGAACGCCAACGTTTACGACAACAACAGCAACAAGAACAGTGCGAACGGCAACGTCAACGTCAAGAAGGAAACCAACGACGATACGAGCAATGGCAAGAACGCGTAGCTCAACGACAACAGGAACGATATCGACAAGAACGAGAACAACACGAGCACTATGTATACTTGCAGCGACGCTCGCCTAACTTTGACGAACTGATGGATGAGATACTCGGAGAATGAGAGCTGGAAGAGTACTATTTAGAAAGAATGGCTTCACAAGACAGACAGGAAGTTTGGGAACAAGAACATTTAAACGAACTACAAGGAAATTCTGCACCTCGAGCGCACGGATTACCACTAGACGATACAGAACGGTATGCAAAATTCCTTCAGGACCAACTGTGGTGGGATCAACACGATCAAGCAATGCAAGTCTACGACATGCAAAACAACGACTATGCACAACAATGCAGAAGAAACCAGGAATTACTTCGACAAAAAGAAGAGTGGGAAGACCTGGCATTTCGTCATCAACAATTATAAAAATAAACAGCTCAAAATCCAATAATCTCATAATACCCCACTGATTTTCCCGCCTAAATGAAATACTAAAAAATAATAAAGCTTTTCCAAAATAAAGTACCTCAAATTCCCCTGAACAATTAACGTCTTTTCATTGCTTCTATTTCAGATAATCTCTTCACATCCATAAGTACAAAATGCTGTACAAATTCACTATTTCGACAAAAAAAAACACCACTAAGATAAACAAACAATGTCACCACTATTTACAGCTCACACAATCAAATTATTCATCATTCTATTCCAAAACGAAACAATGAAAAAATCATCTCAACTATTCGCATTCTGTTTCAACAAAACATCCAATTTCATAACGGTGAGTAACACACAAATAGTCCAAATATCAGTCACGATCACCACTTTCTATTTAAGGTATCTCTACAATTCTATTTCTAACAATCAAATTAATTGTAGATACCCTGTACTGGAATAGACACCAGTCATCTAAAGAACAGTAAAAACTATAGGCGTCGAACATCTTCTACCTCATACTCAGAAAAACCGCAATCGAGAGATTTCAAAGGACTTATATTCAAAATCTCATCTTCTTAAAGACTATGCAGTGCTAAAACTACCTGAAGATTTTGACCCTTGAGAAACGTCGAAACTATAGTCGTAGTTTCTTTAAACATAATACACACCGTGTTATATTTAAGAAATCTCTGCTTTGCTTTATGTTTATAAACTAAACGTGAGAAGAATTTGTTCTTTTCAATTTAATCTATAAATTTATGCAGTGCTAAAACTACCTGAACATTTTGACCCTTGAGAAAGGTCGAAACCATAGTCATAGTTTCTTTAAACATAATACACAACTATATATGTTCTTGAATTTCTTGTGTTCTTGAATATAAATTAGCTGCGACCTATCTTATTTCTAAAAAACTTTTTGGCTTTTGAAAAATTGTCCAAAAAGAATTTTTGCAAATAATTGTGATTCCCCTGCAATATATTGACGGTAGTTTACTGAAAGTTATTCTTAGATTTCATTGAACTGTCTCAAATTTGTAGGTTAGAATCGAATTGCAGCGCTTTAAAATTTAATAGCCAAACTTACCTGATGATGACCCTTAAGCAAGGTCGAAACCGGTAGTAAGTATTGCTTGTGCTATTAAATATATATTTCTTATACTCACCCACACCCTTCCATATGCTACGCACAAACAAAATCAAAAAAATCAGGCCAATATTGTACTACGTTAAAAAAAACGATAACAAATAACCACTGGTAAGAAAAAACCCTTAATCAATAGAAAAACATTCCTACTCTAACACAATCTTTTCTTTCGTTTTAATTTATCTACACGAACCGTCACAGACACATTGCACAAAGCATCTTGACAACTTTGTCCTCTTCTCTAATCCGTTGTATCTCCCGAACAAGAATCGTAAGTAAATTCGAAAAACTCTAGTTTTGTGGTAACTCTACACATCCATCTATTCTCTCATTTTCTGTTATCATTTTAAATTGTTTTATATTAACTGTAAGAATTATCAATCTATGTCGTATTGTCATGATCACTATTACTTTGATCGCAATTTAAAATTGCATTCTAGATTGAATTGATTGTCTTTCAGATTATATTATTCATGGCAGAAGAACGAAAGCAAAATTCAACTTTCGATGAAATCGATAAATTACTTGCCGATGAAGAATTTTGTCGAGCAGTAGAAGCATTGAATGACGATGCAGGTAAATATGAAAACTGAAATGAAATTTATTGCAAAAATGTCTAATTATTTTCAATTCTCTAAACAAGACATTACTGTTCACTCATCAACACAGACGACACCGGATCCTTTAAATACTGCTTTTATTGAGGTACGACGTACTATTTGTTTACTCAAAATAGATGTAAAAATGAACATTTTTTTTCTAATATAAAATAGGAGACCAACCTCAATGAACATCAACAAAGTCATTTATCTCAACAACAAAGTAGTTTATCTCAACAACAAAGTAATTTATCCGAACAACAAAGTAGTTTATCTGAACAACAAAAGAGTTTACCTCAACAACAAAGTAAAAATTATTTTTAAGAAAAATTTCATTATCTAATTATCGATTCAATAGGCCAAACTATAAATGATGCATCAGCCATCCTTCGTGAGTTGGCAGAGATAACGACTGAACATGAACATGAACGGATCGATCAACCTTTACCAACAACAACAGCAGCAGGAAACTTGGTCGAAATAGTTGATCTATCACCATCAACATCTCGTACGATCGATCTACGTACACCGACACCAACAACAATCGATCTTTCTACACCTGCACCAATTACGATCGATTTAGATTCACCTCAAATACCACCCAATACTAACACTACGGACTCACCACTTCATTTAAGTCCAAAATAATACTTTGTTTGTTTTTTTCTTTCCCGTTTTTTTGCCCCATACTCTATTATCCTCTTCCGATAACTTCTGATTTATTACATATCAAGTTATTCCCTTCGTTCAATTAATTTTTGTCCTTTTGTTCTAGATGATTAATTACAATATATTTCATCATGACTCATCATAATGATTCGATAAAAAACAGAGTAATGACGAAAATGTCAATGTGATCTATTCATACATTTATCATTTCATTTTTATTTGTGTATATTATAGTATGATGACTCGTCAGTGTCAACTCATCAGAGTCAACAAGTGGATACTAACATTTGAGTTCAATTGATAAAATAACAAAAGCAGAGATTTGGCGACATTCACTATCAAGAAATCAATCAATCTCTTGAACACACGACTACAATTAGTTGACTTAATCACCAAGAATTAAGGCGAATATCTCTACTCATTTATCAAAATACAAAGATTTACAAGGCGAAAAATTGTTATCGACAACATGCTCCAAATTTGCCACTTGATAAGAATTCTTGTAAATTCGAAGTACTATTGTATTGTGGTAACTGTAACACACGACCAGATTATAGGTAAACAACTTACCTATAATGACATATTCGCCAATGCAATAAGACGTTCATATGACTCGCTATCACACAAGTATTTGCCACTTGATAAGATTTTATTTGTAAAATCGAAATACTACATATTTAGTATTGTGGTTACTATTCACGCTCACATCCAAACTACTAATGAGTAGCGGGATACTTCTTGTGAGTATAATAAAATTAGATTTATTCTTATATTTCAATAACTACGATATTATTTCTTTGTTTTTTCCTTTGTTTCTAGTACCAAGCACAAGGAGTCACAGGAGAGAGTCATGTTTGTCAGTTTACATAGGTTTTCGATTATTTTTTAAAAATTACTTTCACAATAAATAAATAAATGAATAAATAAACAAATATATATATATATATATATATATATATCAGATATAATTTGTTTACTTCATAGGAATCCTAATTCAACTTTTGTTAAAAATATCTGTGATTTATTTTAGATATAAAATATCTTCTATTAAAAAAGACAACGTCTTCTTCTATTACTTCACGTGCATTGATTAACTTTGTAGTATTCAAGAAAATCGAATGGCTACTTTCAAACTTCAAACACCGTTATTACAACCTGCAAAAAAGATGAAAAAATCATGGCATTTCACAAATAATAGCATGTATCATAAGAATATCCAAAAGAGTCAATTATCTATTGATAACTGGAAGACTTCATCACGGATCCTAGCAAATTATAGAAAAATGCCTGACAATCTATTCATACATCGACTATCAAACAGTATTCCTAGTCAGTGTGCAGTGATCCAACGGTCATTAACGAATACTACAATGTTACATTTTATTCGCCGTCGTGCTCTACTCATGTGTACTTTATCAGAATTAAAAATCGAAGAAGATTATTGGAAACATGTTGCTGACGAAGCAATGCCTACTGTAAGATGGTTATCTCAAGCATCTAAAGATATAACGAAACGAAATTCCATTAACTGGGATTATCCTCGAACGGAACGCAACATAAGACATCGACAAAGATTAATTTATAATAAACTACAACAAGCAGAGGCGAACTTGAAGGTTCATTTACAACAAAGTCCTCCAAGTGCAGTAAAACAAAATGAAATATCTATTGACGAATCAATGAATATCATTGATCACGCTCTTACTAATCTCGTAAAGAAAGATCTTGAACAATGGGTGAATTATTTTGAACACAAGAAAACCATACTGAACTTCGATATTAATGGAGTCAATCAGGTCAAATCATTCTATGAATATAGTCCAAACAAGGAACAGGTTTTCAACCAAACCTACGACCATATTTTTACTCTTTTTCTTTCCTTCTAGATTCTTTCTGTTCAGAAACTTTGGCGAATAACTGCCAAATCATACGAACGAGCAATTACTCTAAAAAGAAATTCTTCATTGTTAACTAAACAAACATTTAAAAAAAAAGGAATAATACAAAACAACTCGGCTCATGACCACATGAACGCAATTGGATTCGACTGCAATACTGGCCATTCTGATCAAAGTGTTTCAACAACTTTGCTTCAACCGTTCCTCGGTCCTATGCGCAATATTATTGAAGTTCCTCTTCCTAATATCAAACAACGAGCTGAGCAAATTATGCTATTCATCAATACATCCTCTCACTAAAAACTGTCTGCTTTGCTTCAATATAAAACACAAAATCAAAATATTGTCCTTGTTCATCCATAATTTTGAATCCCAGCAGTGTTCATTATATGCTTTTCATTATCATAAAATTATTCTTCCAATCCATAATAAAACTCATATAGCTATTAGTTTCCTTCATTTCAGATACATATTAGATTCACACTTACCCGTGATTGACTTTACCAATCCTGGCCATTCTACGATCACCTAATTCTTACAAAAAACATCCACCCACCCGATAGTAAAAAACATACATCCATGCAACACCTGGCGAACATAAGCCACCACATCGAAACAATAATGATTAGAATTCGACCAACCCTTCATTCTTATCCCTCTACCACCAACCAATTCAACAAATTCAACCAAGCAGCTCACACATCAGTATCGCCAAAATGAAATTAACTATCAACTGTTCGGTGTTCGAATTTCTCTCGTTTTTTCAAGTTGAATTCAATAGTATCCTATATATCGTACGTCTTCGAAAGTATGGATCATTGATATTAACATTTGCCACTTGACAAGTTTCTTTAGTAAACTTGAAAAACTATCTTTAGTTTTGTGGTAATTATTCACATACTTTAGATGTTTAAAAATTTCTGCTTTCGAGTAGAAACTTTCAATGAACTGTCTCGAATTTGTAGTTAGGATTGAATTGCAGTATTTTAAAAATTTAGTAGCTGAACTTACCTGATGAGGACCCTTAAGCAAGGTCGAAACCGGTCGTAAGTAGCTTGTGCTATTAAATAAATCCTATACACACCCACACCCACACCCACACCCACACCCTCCAAAATTTATTGAAAAAGTTGATTTTTCATTTAAAATTGATGAATCTATTATCAATCAAGATGAAGCTCAAGCTACATATAATCAAATGCGTCAAATTACAAAAGAATTTCGTACACAAGCAATAACATTATATGTACAATCATTAGGTAGAGAAAATGAATTATTATCAAATGAAATTAAACGTATTATTGAAGGCTTTCCCCAAGAAAATGATGAGGGATTTGATGCTGAACCTGGACATGCAGCATTTAAACATTATCATAATTTACGAGAAAAAAGATTAAATTTAGAAGCTGAACAATCGATTCATTTTTTATCCGAAGAGCGAGTCGAGGGCGATACAAACAATCCGGTAGAAATCATTGCTCCGACTCTAATTCGATCGCTGGGCGAGGAATTCTTGCTCCAGCTATAATCAATCAAGCACAAATTCCATTAACCGAGGAAGAACATGAATTACTAAAATTAGATCCTCGGTTTATTTATAATGATCCAAAAACGGCATCTCGACGATGTACAATTGAATTGGCTACTCTCAAACGAAAAATCGAAGCTCTTTTCTTTGAAAAGAAAGTTAGCCCCGGTCGTCCAGTCGAACAATTTATTGCCGAATTAGATATTTTACTTCAGAAATTACATGATACCCCTGGAAATCCTCGAAAATTAAGAAACATATCAAATCAAAATAATACTTATGATAATTTAGTTTCTACTATAGAATCAAGTCAGTCTCAAGATATTAATTCTCGAATGACTATTAAAAAGAAGAAAAATTATGGGCGATTAATTAAACGTTTAAAATATAAGCTTCATTTGAAAAATATTGTTCTTCAAAAATCTGATAAAAATAAAGTATTCCACTTAGGTAAACTCGACGATTATCACAAAAAATCAGAAGAATATATGGATAAAACAAAAGCCTACAAATGCTTAGGCACTGAAGATCCATTACCTGATCTGATTCGTCGTACTAATAAATACTTATTAGATTTAAGATTAGCCAAGTGGATTACTCAAAAACAATATGAAAAATTATGTATTAATTCAAATGAAGTTGAACTTGCTCATTTGTATTATTTACCTAAGGCACATAAACCTGGTACTCCTCTTCGTCCAATAATTTCTGGTCTTAAACATCCTACAATTAAAATATCAAAATTTCTCGATGAATTACTTCGATCTTTATTCGATAAAATGGCTTTAAAGTCAACTGTAAATTCTGGTTTCGAACTAGTGAAACAGTTACAAGAATGGTCGAAAGATA